TGTTCATTGACTGCTGTCCAACACTGAACACAGTGCCCTTTCCTTTCCTTCCCTCCCTTTCTCCACTATAATAAAATGCCAGGATTCAAGCATGAAATCAGGTAATTAGCCATTGGGAAATGCTGTCTGATTGCAGTATTTTGGACAAAACTTAGTGTTTTCAAGATATTGCACAGTTGTTAAACCTGATTACATTTCTGGAAATTTATCCTTCATTTTATAAAATTAGGGAAATCAAGACAGGAATTAAAAATGCCTGGGACTATCATTCACTGGGCAGTCCTATATATATGATATGTGTGTGTATGACAACTTCAGACTTCCCATCCATGGTGTATGTTCCTTGACTATACCACTCTGGTGGGCCATCTGAGTAATCTTTGCTTGTCAAGGGGGATCATTGGTTATCATCCCAGCTTATTTTCAGGACACTTTTCAGCATCTGCAATGTGTTAGAAAGCAGCTGTGTTCATTTTGTCACGCTGGTTCCTCTCTCCAGTGCTAACACATCGTTTTGCAGAAGGAGAAAGAGAAAAACCAGTATGGGAACACAGAACTACTGAATGGCAGAGAAGCAGACTCAGTTTAACTCTCATGTCTCCGTCTGAGTCCCTGCCTTTTAATACCAAATGCCTTTGATTTCACATAGGATCTTGGATGTGGTTCCTACATTTCAAAAACTGACTTAAAGAGTAGTCACTGTTTAAACAGTAGTCACTACTTTAAACAGTTCCCAACTGAAGAAAACAAGAGGTTTGCACTTCAGAACATCCGTACTTAGACTAAAGCAGGCACTCCGCTGACTCCTTACTCCAAATTTACTTTCCATGGACTAGCATCTAGTAGAAGATGGCTATGTCTACAGTACCCAAATAATAAGGCCTCAGCTTGGCCGGGCACAGCACTGTCTGTCCATTAGGCTGGTGTTCCTAGTACAGCCTTTGGCCTGTGCCAGCAAGTGCTCTCCCAAATGATGCCTGAGTGTGGTTTAGGAGTTGGTATAGGAACACACCAGTTGCCAGTGGCCAGGTTAGATGTGTCTGTCCCCTTTCAGAGGGCAGATGAAGTTTGCTGTGTGAGCTATGTAATGCCAATCGCCCCTGGGACCAGAGAACAGGTGCCATCCCATTTTGTTTAAAACTACAGATGCTGTCAAATTGCCCTTTCTTGCAACATTTGGGGTCCTGATGGGTGGCAGAGTTTTTAATAGTTTCTTCTTTGAGACTGAATGATCCAACCATGCACCTTGACACTTTCATATTCAGTGCCTCCAGCCAGTAGATGGTCTCTTGTGCAGTGCCGTGGTGGAGAGAGGAGGCTCCATCCACTGCTGTTCTTCTCCACCCCCAAATCACCACTGTCTAGCTCAGGGCAGGCTCCTGTGTCACGTACCATAGTCATGTTCTGCCTGTGCATCTCCCCATCTGCTTGGACCGGGTCTGAATCCACCTGAGATTACTGGGATGTTGCAGTCGGAGAAGATCAAGAGTACCAAATAATAAAACCAAGCAGATGGTTGGGGTTCTTTCCCTAAGAGAGGAGAAATACAAAAGAAGGGGAAGAGACTGTGGTAACTATTGACAACTGAGTACCAGCAGCTAATCTCAGTGAGGACTGGATCAGGCCTTAAATGTCTGCTAGCTAGACACTGCTGTGGTAATGATAGTGTTAGCCCTTTTTAAGTGACGTGGATCCTGGTAACCTTCAGCTCTCCGTTCTCCTGGCGCTGGCCTCAGGGAGGGCTAGGTGGACCTTAGTTCCCATTTCCTCTGCTTCTGTTGCCATCTAGGAGAGTTTATTTTCTCAAACCCATTTTCTCTAACATGCAAATGCTATCCTGAGCCAAGGACAAACACTGAGATCACTTTCTAAGAGAGGTAAAACCTTAGTGCTTCTCATTTGAGATGGACTTGATTCCAGTTTGGTTACCTGTGAGAATTGCTCCACATTACTGCCTGGGAAGGAGAGAGCTTTTTCTGTGTCCCTCAATAGAAGAAGAACTGGAGCTCGCTAGCTCCTGGCTGTCTGTGCAGGACAGTCCAGCTTTGGCAAGGAGAATTACTTGAAGCTGAGGAGGAGGAGGAGGAGCGGGATCCATTTTGAATCCCACGTGGGGGATGCCTGTTGAGTGTGTGTTGCTCACAGGAGACTGCACCAGGGCTTACATGAGAATATGGAGGGCTTTGGGCAGTAAGCCAAGCCAAGCTGGGTTGTGTGAAACGCAAATAGAAAATAGCAATTCGCAATGCCTCATAACTCAGTCAAACCTGTAAAGGGCTTCACAGGGCCAGGGAAAGGTTAACCCTTTGACAGCAGCCCTGCCACATCTCACCTCCTTAGCAAAACCACAGAGCCCTAAGAGCCCTTCAGAGACATTTGCAGGGATCTTCAGTGACAGGAAGCATTAGGTGTAACTTTGCTAATTGTCAAGGCTCACATTGCAAGCTTTTATTTCATAGATGTTAAAATTAGAAGGCAGTGTTGTGATCCTCTCATCTGGCAGTAGCAGTTTCTCTACTGAGCCTAATAATGTGTGCGTCAATTCTCTTACATATTTTAGAAAAGTCTTCACTAAGTGACAGAAACTTATGTCTCAGTCAGGGGTTGATTATGTCTCCTGAAACACCCCTGTTTGTTTCTGGCTTTGTTTGGTACTGCATATTCAGCAGTTGACATAAGTACCAGGTGGGTATATCTCTGTTAAAAAGGGAAGTTTTGGTCTGTGGTTGGCTGCATATTATTTCTCTGACTTTTCTGGAAAGAAGCTGCTAATTGTCACTACAAGGTTACTGAAAAGCTGAACTGAGACCTGTGCACTGCAGTACCAGGTTGGGTTCTTTGGTGTGGGAGGTGTGGGTGGCATCCCTGTGGAATGTGACAGGTTGGCAGCATGCTGTTGCTGCTGCTGTGCCTTCAGAGCTGAGCTAATACTTGTAGGTTGCCACTATGGTGTGTGTTAAAGTTGAATTAAATTAGGATTGCCCTACCTAAAGTGTTTGTTTCATGTAAGAAATGTTAATTCTAAATGCTTATCTAGAATAGCACCAATGTAACTGGCTGAATTAGCAACCAAATGGCAAAGCATGACAGAAATGTAAGGTTGTAAAACAAGTCAGCTGATAGGGATTGGGAGCAGGCTCTGCCTCCATTAGGTCAGTTATAAACCATCATCAGCTATTTTTCTATTAAAGAAGAGGTCTAAGTTAATGAATTGATGTGTGTGGGAATTAATGCTGGATGAGTCCCCTGTGGCTTTTGTGATGAGGGTCAAATAAAATATTAATGAAATTAAAACAAACAATCCCCTGCTCTTCCTAAGTGCCTTCCGGATGGGTTTCTCTAAGCATTGGTCGGGGAAGATGTGGAGCCCCAGGAGAGACAGGCCGGTGTCATTATTCCCTTTTCATGCGCAGGGAGATGAGGGTGGTGGAAGACAGTGACCCTGGGGCCTCACAGGCCAGCAGCAGGGTTGTGCAGGAGGTCTGCTGTCTGGTGCTTTTGCTCTGATCTCTCCAAAACCCCTGAGGTTTCAGCTCCTGTCTCAGAGAAATGGAAGTCCATCCGGATTGCTCCTGCACTGCTCGGCTGGAAGCTGAACTTTCCAAGTCTAAGGCAGCCTTTGGGAGTCCCAAATCTGTAATCTTCTTATTCACAAAACTTCTCTGTGCCTCCAGATCAGAGACTATAACCCAGTAGATGTGGCTCTTTTCTCCTGATGCCTTATCCACATGACACATTCGCTTGTCTTGTGAATTGTCCATTCTGAAGTCTGAGAATAGGAGCTCAAATGACAGGCTGGGGAAGGATAAAGTCTTTTTGGTTACATCTGTGCTGTGCAGTGCAGTGCAGAAGATCTCAGGCGTGATGAAGTCAAGCAAACTTGCTTCAGGAGCAGCATCCCTGAATCATTTCAGTCCAGTTCCCAGGCTAACACAATCACGGTGTTTTCATACTCTAAAGTAGGAACTGTGTGGTATAACAGGGTGTTAAATATATACGGTGCTTTTGGACATGGCACAAAGCTGTAAATTGGTTCAGAAATCTTCCCGCTGCTGCAAAATGTAAGGATGTGATGTACTCTGCATCTCTGGGCATGATTCTATTACACTGAGAAACATCCAGTGTATGGAGAAGGAGACTTTGGCAGGCACTCCAGGCTAAACAGAGACAGTTCTGTTTGTATCATGCAAAATCAAAGCTAAATGCATTTTCTTGCACCTGTTTGTGTACCTTGGGCATGGACCAGCCTAAGCAAGACTTCAGCAAAGGCCACTGGGGGCTCACGACACAGGGCTGATGAATGACAGCACATGGTAAGAGGTAACTTACTGTGCTGACAAGTGCAATGGGGGACTTAGTTTGTCATGAGGATAGTTTTAAAGCACTTTCCTGTTATTTTTTCTAAGGAAGTGAAAATGCTAAAATTATTTCAGAAGACAGCGAAGATATTGATAACCATTCCTCCATGCTACCTCCAAAGCATTATTGATGGGCCCTGAATCAGAGAATCAGAGAACCACAGAATGGTTTGGGTTGAAAGGGACCTTAAAGATCATCTAGTTCCAACCCCTTTGCTAGGGGCAGGGACACCTTCCACTGGACCAGGTTGCTCGAAGCTCCATCTGGCCTGACTTTGAACAATTCCAGGGTTGGAGCATCCACAGCTTCTCAGCGCAACCTGTTCCAGTGCCTCACCACCCTCACAGTAAAGAGTTTCTTCCTCAGATCTAATCTAAACTTGCCTTCTCAGTTTGAAGTCATTAAAAAGGAATACCTCTCATTGTGTGGGTATCAATCCCAGAAGCTGGAAATCAGGTATGGCAGTGGGCAGATCTTTTCCCCCACTGATGGAAAAGTTTACTGAGTTCTTGGTAAACATCCTTGTGTCTTCAAATAAGGAAACAATAATAATTTTGTCATATTTCTATAGCAAACCACAAAAATATGTTCTACAGTTCACTCAGTCTTTCTCCCCTCTCTTGTGGTTGTCTGCCTTTCAGGATTCATCAGGATCTTTTTGCGTGACTGGTGCAAGCCTCCCTTCCAGAAGAACTGCCCATCTCTGTCTCCTCGGGAACAGCCGAAGGGGGTGTGGAGTGACAAAAATTTATGTTTTCATCAAACCGGGCCAAGGAGAATGGGGGTCCCACACCCAAAAGAATGAAGACACGACAGAACAAGGACTCAGTACGTGAGATAGGAGAGGGGGGTGGGACGCAAGAGCCAAGCTGGACCTGTGGGTTGGGACTGAGACTCCCAGCAAGCTAGTGGGCATGAGTTTGGCACAGTGGAGTGCCAGGGGTTCAGGTGCTTTGTGAGGCTGGGGACAAGGCAGGAGTGGAGGGAGATGCAGTGCAGGACTGATACAATGATCCTTCCCTTAGATGTCAATGCGGAGTGGACGGAAGAAAGAGACTCCAGGGCCCCGAGAGGAACTCAGGTCACGGGGTCGAGCTTCCCCTGGGGGCGTCAGCACCTCCAGCAGTGATGGCAAAGCTGAGAAATCCCGACAAGCGACAAAGGTATAAGCTAGCAAGCAGGTGTGGGGTGGCCAAGGACTGCCCAGACTAGGTAGGATCCATTTGAGGATCCAGGAACACAGACTAGAATGGATCCACCAAGGAACCTATGCTGGGTTAGCTCCCTAAAACGAGCACGATCCCTCTTTGCTCTTATCCTCACCATCTTGCACTTCCTGCCATCTCCTAAGAACTGGTCCTTGGTCCCACCATCCCCTTTTAGTGCTAATTTTTGCCATATCCTGGCTCCTTGTTGCTCTGCTATTGTGATCAACACACGTGCCATGGTGGCTGTGTCTCACCTGCTGCATTCTGTGAAGGCGTGGCAGGTTGGGAAATTTCCCCGTGACCCTCTCATCTCCCTGTTCTCCTTCTCTTCCTTGCAGAAGGGCCGAGTGGAGGAATCCTGCACCCCCAAGGGCAACAAGCAGGGCCGAACAGAAGAGATCTCAGAGAGTGAAGGGGAGGACACTAACGCTCCCAAAAAAACCAAAACTGAGGTGAGTTCTCACTGCTGTGATTGCTGGCACGCCCCAAGTCCAGGGCAGAGGAGTCTCCTGTTTTCCTACCTGTGCTGCTCACACCTGTCCAGCTTGAGGTTCCCACTGCTTGGGATCCCCAGCACCTTGTTTTGCACTGCAGCTCTAGCAATCTATATGGCATCTGTCTGGCTACAAAAAATGCCACCAGGAGAGACAACTGAGCAGACAGAGGCTCTCTGTCTGTTTTGCCTTGTCTGCAGGAGACTGCTGTGCTCTTGGAACCGGGTACATGCCCTGCCTTTCCCAGCTTAGAGGCAAGAGCCTGGCTCCATGCACAGCTGCTCGTTGCGTTAGTCAGCCTCTTCCGATCCCCCAGCGCAGTGTGAAATGGAGATACTTAAGTTGTGGTTCCAGGTGACAGTCATGCAAAACCTACTCATGCACACACAGAGTTGTGACAGGACTTTTCTGGAAGCCAATAGCATCAGCCTGGATTGGTAGTTGGATGGCTGGAAGAAGACTCAGCTCTTGCGCTTCTCCGTTCCTGTTCCAGGAACTGGCCTTAAAGGCCTACAAACACTGGGGTATTTGCTCACATTATGAGGTCATTGTAGTTAAACCACTGTGGTTACAACTTTGTAATTTCTCCACATGGGCACTCTGTTCAGCTCAACAGTGATATTTTTTCAGTTTAGCCTCTCTTGTAAGCCCTGAGGCTCAAGAGTGGCACTTGTAATTACCCAGGATGACTGCTTAATCACCAGTGCACATTGCCTGAGGTGACAGTGGTGGGAAGGAGCAGGGATTGGGAAGCACAGGGTTAACTCCTGGAGATAAGGAGTGGGACAGTGAGAGGAGTCTGGAGGGGATCTGATCTCCTCGACCAGGGAGAGCTCTGCAGGGGCAAGAAGAGTGAGTCTGGGTCTGGGGTCTGTGCTGGGACCGCTGTGGTGTGTGCTCTTCTGTGCCACCTGGTGATATCATGCCCTGGCCAACAGCCCATCATTGGTGGTGGTGGTGCGAGGACTGCTCATATCTGTTCACTCTCAACCTTTTCTGTAGCAGTTCCCTGCCCTCCCTCGCTGCCCCTTTACACAAGGTACTTCCTTCCCGAA